TAAAAATATATTTGTATTCGGGAACAAGAAATACTTTATATCAAAAAGCTGTGTTCCTCACGAGACTGCAGTGCGCGAGTTGAGTGAGTGACGTTCAGGAAGAGGTGACTGACACAGGCTGCTCCACACAGGAACAGAGAGGGCTCGGCTGAGCGAAAAAAACACTTAACTGCATCACTATTTTTGTTGAATAGATGTTTGTACCTTAACTAGGTTCCGGAGGCAGTTTATAACTTTCGGGAAGCGGAGTTTGATCGGGAGTATATTCCATTATTGACGTCTGCAGACGGGTGCTCTCATGTTCGCTCTGTTTACGTAGCTCTGTTAGCTCGGTAACGGTAATTATTTGTTTCTTATATGGCTTGGTTGAATTCTAATGTAGAATGCGGTCTGTTATTATAACAGGCCGCTGCTTATAAGTATAACACACCGTTGCCATGAAAAACAGAGCGTTGCCATGGATTCTAAACGTAGAGACAGAACTGACTATTTTTCTTTTTTTAGCGGAAGCGATACAATCGTTTTTTAAATCCACAAACTCCTTTTTATATCCATATTTTGAGTCAAATTATTGATTTATTTGGTAGGTAGCCATGTAATAAGCGGGGTAATGTAGAGTGAGGCAGCGAATACAAACCCTTCAGGCTCATAATCAACCTCCTCACTATAAATTATCCCTTAACTTATTCTGTCTGCTCAGCGTCCTCCACCGTGGTGTTGGGGTTCGATAATGTTGACAATTTTATTTTATTAGTTGTTGGTTTAATCATGGTTCATGAGGTAATGGATGACTGTTATTTTCTTTTCAATGACTTTTCTTGTTACATGTTCATTGCTGGATTTATAGAAAAAATCAACCAATATTGCATATCCATAATTATTATAATGGATATAATTAAAGAATCCATAGACTATAAAGTATTTTTAAAGATTTTTATGCCTATTTTGAATTTTACTCGAATACAAATACAAATACTTTTCCTCCCTGAACAAATACAAATACAGATACAAACCGGCTGCTTTGCACACTGGAACCCATGTAAACTTTACTGTTATTCCCATCTGACAAATCCGTGAATGCAATTCTAGTATTTCATATATTATGTCCTGTCTTGCTTGTGACTTAAAAGAATGCAAACTTTTCAGAACTGCACTTGAGTCTGAACATATAGTCCTGATCACTTCATTATGATATACACCTAGGTCCAACCATTTCTCAGCAATAATCACATGGGGAAGTAAAAAAAAAAAAAAAGACTATGAACAGGTAATAAATATCAAGTAGAAATATTATGTGATCAAGTAACATTTTCTTCACCACACAAATTTAAGTAACAGTACAAACTTCAATAAGTAAACTTCAGCAATAATTAAAGGAAGTACACATTAACATCAACCAATTCCCCTTCCTTTCCCACCATACTTGGTATCTCCCATTCCAGTCCATTCCAGTCTTTTGCCCAAATCAAGATGGCCGCCACCATGCTGCTCCAGGTGACAATCAACAGTCTGTAGCAAACCTTAAATGTCCTCACACTCTCAGAAAAAAGGTACAAAAGCTGTCACTGGGGCTGTACCTTTTCAAACGGTAAACTTTTGTCCATTTTATGTGCTAATATGTACATTTCAGGTGCTAATATGTTCATTTTATGTGCTAATATGTACATTTTTGGTGCTAATAATATGTACATTTCAGATGCTAATATCGACATTTTATGTGCTAATATGTACATTTCAGGTGCTAATATGTACATTTCATGTGCTAATAAGTACATTTAATGTGCTAATATGTACCTTTTAGGTGCTAATATGTGCATTTTAGGTGCTAATATGTACATTTTTAGAGTTAATATATGCATTTCAGGAGCTAATATGTACATTTTAGGTGCTAATATGTACATTTTAGGTGTTAATATGTACATTTTAGGTTCTAATATGTACATTTTTTAGCGTTAATATGTACATTTCAGGACCTAATATGTCTATTTTAGGTCCTAAAATGTATATTTTAGGTGCTAATGTGCACATTTTAGGTACTAATGTGTACATTTTAGGTGCCACTAAGGTACCAATATGCAGCCTTTGGGTACAAAAGTGTACCTTTTGAAAAGGTACAGCCCCAGTGACAGCTTTTGTACCTTTTTTTTCTGAGAGTACAGGGTAAGTGCACAGGTGGCCAGTCTGAGATAGTTGTAGATATTTTTGTGTGGTTAATCCATCTCTCATGTCGCTGGCACACTAAGATAAATAAAGAGTCTTTTAAAATCCAAGTATGTGTTCATGTGTTTTGTGGAAGGGCTAACAAGGGGTCACAAAGTATTGAGGGTAGCTCTGTGACAAAGATGAAATGTTTGTGGCCTTAGTTTTAGTAAACTTTTTTTGGTGACACTTCACTATTAACTAGTTTGCTTAAAACAAAGCACTATTGTAACTATTTTAATGTTTTTTATTCTTTTTAAAATGACCTTTAAGTTTATTTAAACTGGTTCATTCGGTCTGTCCACTTTAATGAATCGATCCAAAACTCTGATTCACTAATTCATTTGCATCGTTGTTTATTTCTATATATAAATGAAAATGCTTAAGATTTTTCCTTGTGTCCATTTAGTGAAAAACAAACATCCCTTTATTATTTTAACGAGATTTTTATTTCTGTATTTTCTGCTCAACTGCAATGACTGTTTATATGAAATGAAAACAAGTTAAAGCACTCTTATATCTAAATATTAGTCAAATAGAAATCGAGGTACAGTATATAGTCAAAAGGATGAAAGATTTTTTTAGCTACATCTCTCAGCGCTAATTTGATGGCGTTCTCAGCAGAAATCGACCTGGGCAACTGAAATAAATGACGGTATAAGACCTCAGCTAATTAAAGCACATGAGTTCAACGTTAATTATTGATTCTGAACATGGCGGTGTGTTGGGTGTGGGCCGCGGGCGGTGTAAAGGGCACCTGTTAACAGCTTGTTGCATTGACTCTGGCATTCGCAGTAACAGATGTTTTGCCTGTACTGAACGAAGAGCATTTGTTTGGCTTTCCTCCGGAAGACGAGAGCTCTGCTGAATGTCCTCCGGCGCTGAGGGTTTCGGGGAGCATGTAAATGTGCCCCTGCTGCGCTCAAGCATGAATGAAAGCAGACGTTGAGAACACATTTGAGAGGCATTTTGGCTTGTGTTGTTTTTTTTAAATGTCAAGAGATGGCATCTGTGGAAGTGATCATGCTCTTCAACTAGGGCTGGGTATTGACACATTTCACGATTCGATTCAATTTGATTCAGTGACTCTGGTGTTCATAGTTGCACGTTGATTCAGACATCCACACGATCTCATTTCTAAAGCATTCTGCTCTGTCTATTAAACCTTTGACAAGTATGATCACAGCGAACGTTCACATCTCTGTTCTGACCCAGAGAGAGCAGTTGCTATGTTTAGGTATGAAACCTCTTCACAGAGTCTTTTCATACACACATAATTCACATTATTACAGAAGTACTGGGATAAAAGTTTGAGTTTAAACACTGATGTCACTTTAGCGATCAAAACATAGTAAATCACCTTTAGAAAGTAACTTCACGCTTCAAATAAAGACTGTGTTAATTGCGTCGTTACACCAGTAGGTGACAACAGTTGACTGTAAAAAAAACCTTATTTGTCATTTAATCATTCATTCAAGAGATTCGTTCAAAAAAGCTGATTTATCCAGCAATGAAACGAGTGGATTAGTCATTGAATCATTCATTTAAACATTCAAATTTATTATTTTTTTTATAAAAAAATAAAAAAAGGCTGCAGAACGTAACATTTTTGTCTGAACCTCTATTAAATTACTTGTTATTAGGTCTGTCAGTCTTCCTCTACAATACTATTCGAATTCCATTCCTTATTTTATTTAATATTCGAATAATATTTGAATATTAAATGCTAAAATGTATCCTATTATTAAAATTTACAACATCGCCAATGCCACTATAGCACGTGGTTGTTGTTGCACGTTCAGTCCACTAGAGGGACGTCTAATACACATTTTATTTATGCTGAATATGGTTGAAGCGCTTCCGATGGTTTCCGGCTCATGTCTCTGCGAAAACACCACCAGAAAGTCTGAAACTTATATCGTTCTTTAGCGCTTTTTAAATCGTTAAACATTTAGGCTACCATTTTTGACAGTCGTTATGACGATACACCGCGGATAACGTGCACAATTGTGTTACGATTCAAAAACTTTATTGTTCATCAGAGCTCTTTTATGAAGTTAATGCTTTGAAGGGCATATTTAATGAGATTATGCCTGAAAAGGTTCTGGATTTTTTTTTATCATATGTTAATTTAAAAAAATATATTGTATAATATGACTTCTTGTTTATATTTGTTTTTTTTTTGTTGTATTTTTGTAAATGAATAGCTCTGACTGCTGACATGGCATGAAATAAAATAATCTGAATCTTGTTCATCAGACGAAACAAAGGCATTTCATTTTCACATGCGCGCAAGCCACGGCGGCGGAAAGGCAAGATTGCATATAAAAGAAAATTTAAAAAATATACATTAAAAAGCAATATTCAAACAGTAACTTCAGCATTCTAATAGTATTGATTTTTTTTGAATATTCGAATTATATTGGAATTTCGGAATTCGTTCCAACAGACCTACATGTTAGTTTGTTTAGCTTTACTAGCAGAATTGTGGGAAAATCGTGATCTCTCTTTTAAAGAATTAAACAATCTCACGCATACTCAATGAGGTAAGGGAGTTGAAATATGTAATTTTGTTTGGGTTATGAGGGATATAATTAGTGACTGCAGGAGGGCTTGAAATTTGTGGAGCACAATGGTTTGTTTTTCCTTCAGAATAAGATGCATAATTTACAAAAACATATAAATAGGAGTCAGTTTGGGGTTCACAATGATTTACATGAATCATGACATTCCTGGTCTGATCCAGCAATTGGCTCTGAATGTCTCTCTCTCGCTCACCCGTCTCTATCTGTGTGTTTCAGAGCTGGCCGGTCCAGGCCCCTCCCCCGCCACTCAGGAGCTGATGACACGCTTGGGGTTCTTGCTGGGCGAAGGCATCCCGGGCTCCGCGCGCATACCTATGGACGACAAGAATGAGAAAAAGGTATTTTCCGCAGCCGCTGCCAGAGTGAGAGAGGGAGACAGTGAAAACTGCACGGATTAAAGCTGCATGTTGCTGTCTGTCAGTGTGAGACAGACACAATGAAGAGCGTTTCAGAGCTGGAGTGTGTCTGTGCACGACCACAGTAAGTCATCGAGCCGCTGCATTGCTGATGAGAAACTTGAGGTCTGGTCCAGAAATAGTTTTGTTCTTTCGTTTAGTCTTTGGATGATGAGATGATTGGGTTGAGGCGGTCCGAACGCCCCTTCATGTGCGAAAGGCTTTTGTTTAATAAATCATAATGGTTCGTCGCTCTGGGAATCGCACGCAGAAGGAAGCAACAATGTGTGTCTTTGAGAGTTGTTAATGATCTGGCTTGCGTTGTGTGTTCTTGGACGATGCTGTCCAGTGGGATTCGGTGAACGTCTTTAATCTTTTTCATCAGGCTGCCTTTTGGAAGTTTGTTTTAAAGGAACTTTTATCTGGTTTTGTGACCTTGACTGACTCACAGTGATGACTCACAGGGGCTGCTGGTGTTTGGTCTGGTTTAGGTTGTTGGTTTGTGAGAGAAGGACTTTATCTGTTTAATTCAGGCTGTTTATGTTGTGTAGGTCTATTATGTTACAATAAAACACTTTTCTATGATGTTTTCGAAGTCTGAAATTATTTTTGTGGGTGTGCCACAATGGACAGAAGATAAATAAATAATAGGGCTGTCAAGCGATTCAAATTTTAAATCTAATGTATTTTGTTAATTTCACATCAAATTTGTCTGAGTACTTAACCCCAAAAGATGATTTAAAATCATTACTGTGTTAAATGAGAAAAGCGTCAAATAGACATTACAAAAAGTAGCTTTACAAAGAAATATTGTATTTGATTCAACATAGAATTTATTACACACAAACTTTTAGGCTTTAATTTTTTTATGAATGTGGAATATGATTTTTTTTTATTTTTATGAAATGATACTCTAAAGTTAAAACTGTGGTAAATGGGTGGCGGTAAATGTCTAAATGAGTAAGTCGTTCGTTCGTTCGTTCATTCTCATGTTCGTATGATCAACTGTATGAAAGGTAAGATTACCTATGTAGGTCTCGGGCGGGTGCGTTAAATGCATTAATAATTTTAATTAGGGCTGGGCAACGATTAATCGCATCCAAAATAAAAGTATTTAAGAAATATATTATTATTTAAATTATATTTAAGAAATATTTGCATGTATATAGTTTATATGTATTTATACATAATTAATATTATATATAAATATAAATATTTGATATATTAATAACACATTTTTCTTAAATATATACATGCATGTGTGTGTATTTATATATACAAATTAATTATACACAGCACACACACATTTATTATGTAAACACAAACTTTTATTTTGGATGCGATTAATCGTTGCCCAGCCCTCATTTTAATGCATTATTTTTTTCCATAACTGATTAATTAAATTAAATCCACAGCATTAAATCAATATCGAAAACCTTAAGAAAGTACTTGATATGATATTAATCGTAATATAAGTATATTTATATTTCTATATTAATATGCCTATTTAAGCATCATTGTGGTGTAATGAATACGCAGGAGCCATTTTGTTGTCAGCTGACGAGAAACTTTTAAAACAGGAAATGACATAGAGAACCAGTGTAAACCCTCATGATTGAATGTGGATGTAAAAGGTCAGGCGAAAAGGCCTTTGGATGAGGTTCTGGTGGCATGTCAAGGTTTTTGCTTTATTAGCTGTTTATTTCCTCTGGTGGGTTTTATTTGGATGAAGATAAACATCGGACTCTGGTTTTGATTTAGATGCGTGCTGTTGTATATTAAAATTTACACTCACTGTTGGCATTTTAATCTGTTTTTTTTCTCTCTCTCATCTCTCTTTTACCCTTCCATATAACATAAAATCAAGATAGCAGTGTTTGCATCATTAAACTGCAGAAGCGGCCCGCATTAACATCAGCATGTCTCTGTTCTCTCTGCAGTGTCCAGTAAATCAGGGAATCAGTCCATGCTCGACTCTAACCAGCAGCACGGCGTCTCCATGCACAGAAAGCCCCTGCTCCACTTTAAACAGTAACAGCAGTCGCCCGTGCGGGACCATCAGCATCACCAGCCCCAGCTCCACCCTCGAGAGCAAAGACAGCGGCATCATTGGTGAGAGACAAACACACGTCCCAGCTTTATCTATCTATCTATCTATCTATCTATCTATCTATCTATCTATCTATCTATCTATCTATCTATCTATCTATCTATCTATCTATCTATCTGTCTGTCTGTCTGTCTGTCTGTCTGTCTGTCTGTCTGTCTGTCCAGCTATCTATCTATCTATCTATCTATCTATCTATCTATCTATCTATCTATCTATCTATCTATCTATCTATCTATCTATCTATCTATCTATCTATCTATCTATCTATCTATCTATCTATCTGTCTGTCTGTCTGTCTGTCTGTCTGTCTGTCTGTCTGTCTGTCTGTCCAGCTATCTATCTATCTATCTATCTATCTATCTATCTATCTATCTATCTATCTATCTATCTATCTATCTATCTATCTATCTATCTATCTATCTATCTATCTATCTATCTGTCTGTCTGTCTGTCTGTCTGTCTGTCTGTCTGTCTGTCTGTCTGTCTGTCTGTCTGTCCAGCTATCTATCTATCTATCTATCTATCTATCTATCTATCTATCTATCTATCTATCTATCTATCTATCTATCTATCTATCTATCTATCTATCTATCTATCTATCTATCTATCTATCTATCTATCTATCTATCTATCTATCTATCTATCTATCTGTCTGTCCAGCTATCTATCTATCTATCTATCTATCTATCTATCTATCTATCTATCTATCTATCTATCTATCTATCTATCTATCTATCTATCTGTCTGTCTGTCTGTCTGTCTGTCTGTCTGTCTGTCTGTCTGTCTGTCTGTCTGTCCAGCTATCTATCTATCTATCTATCTATCTATCTATCTATCTATCTATCTATCTATCTATCTATCTATCTATCTATCTATCTATCTATCTATCTATCTGTCTATCTGTCTGTCTGTCTGTCTGTCTGTCTATCCATCTATCTATCTATCTATCTATCTGTCTGTCTGTCTGTCTGTCTATCTGTCATCCGTCTATCATCTGTCTATCATCTCTCTGTCTGTCCATCCGTTTGTTATCTATCTATCTATCTCTATCTGTCTGTCTGTCTGTCTATCTATCCGTCCGTCTGTCTGTCTATCCGTCTGTCTATCTGTCTGTCTATCCGTCCGTCTATCTGTCTGTCTGTCTATCTATCTATCTGTCTGTCTGTCTGTCTGTCTGTCTGTCTGTCTATTTATCTATCTGTCCATGCGTCTATCATCTATATCATCTCTGTCTGTCCATCATCTGTCTATCATCTCTCTGTCTGTCAATCCATCCATCCGAAATAATTATTAATATTGTTGCTCATAACAGTGGAGTTTTATATTGATTTATTTTTTTATCATTGTTAATATACTGCAAATCATTTAGAAATAGTACTGTCCCCAAAATAAATAAAAATAGGAATTTTCATAATTTAGCATATCATATATGTTAGCTTATCATTCATTATTTAAATTGTGAAATAAAATTGAATGATTTCAAATTGATTATTTAATTCGATTTTTCACATTAAAAGATTGGAAACAAGATTTTTTCACATTACGGTAATGGGAAAATGCTGGGAAAATGTGCTTATTTTTTACTTAAAATATGTTAGTTTTTTACTAAATGTATTAACGTAAAATATGACCTGAGCATTTCTGTGTCACTCAGTAACTGAAAACCAGTTTTGCGTCATCATCACCCCATTAAAACACCCCCATCCCATCATCCTCTGCTGCACAGGCTGTGGCATCTCTGTGGAGATTCAGAGCGAGCTGAAATCACAGCCCATGTTGGCCTGTAGATCTAAACGCGGGTGTTCGCAGGATGAGGTGTTGATGCAGCTTGGCCGCTTCAGAAAGTCGATTTTGAGCTCCGCTCTGCATTTTTTTTTTTAGGTTGCAGATAGAAAGATTAAACATTTCTCGATAAATTATGCAGCATTACAGGCTGGCAGTCCTAGTTTTTTGAGAAAATATTGGAGACAATGTATTAATACCACAAAGTTGTAGTTCGAAACTGGGTCTGACCCTGAATTATAGTCAGTTTTAATTCGCTGTCAGTGCTTGCAAGATGTTTATTTTGGCTTTTTGATGTAGCTACACATAAGAAGCATAACACATCTCTGTGTAAATCATTTGTTAAAACCATTCTTGCATGAATAGGGAAGAATTGTTTTGGGAATGTTTCCAGAAGTCTGTTTTTCTGGTGTTTCGTGCATCAAGCCCGTTGTCATTCGCTTTTTTACACAGACGAGAGAAGGAGGTCTGGAACATGTTGCCAGCGGGTGATGTTGGTTTGTTGATGTAGAGGAGTGTGTTTGGCCTGTTTGACCCGCTCAGGATGTGATTAATGCGCTCCTGACTTTGAAGTTTGTGAAGTCTTTTGTCAGATAGAAATAGTTCAGAAACAGTGTAATGATGTTGTGAACAGCTGTTTAGAGACACATGTGTGCACGTATTATATAGTGAGCTCTACACGTTTGAAACCGTTTTGAACATCTAGCTGCTTTTCTTTCATTTAAACCTTGAAATAAACAGCATCTGAGATTTGTGAAGTTATGCTGACAATGAAATCGATACATCTAAATGGTTATTATGACTATGAGAACTTCATAAAACCCCATCCACCAACCCACCCATCCATCCAATCCACCAACCCACCCATCCATCCATCCACCCATCCATCCATCCATCCACCCTCCCACCCATCCACCAACCCACCCATC